CAACTCCAAAAAAAAAAAAGACATTTTACAATAGACCTAAAACAACTTTCAAAAATTGATGAGTCATCTTTAAAACATCCCATGAACAGCATAAAAAAGTTTTCTCAACTATATACATATGTTAGTGCTAGATAACTACCTGAAAACATTAATCTTGGACTGGCTATATTCCTTTTGTAATCATGAGGGTTTGATGTGAGAACTTACTTATTTCACTGGAAACCTGGTTCAGTTTATCCTGTGATCTGCTGACAAGGACAACTTTCATCCCACGCTTTGCTAACTGAAACAGTAAAAGAGATGTGAATCACACCTGTGCATAGCATTTAAAAACATAAATTAGATACAGCCCCTTTTAAGGAAAATCTGACTAGGTAATTCAAATTATAAAACAAAAACAGGTGGCTTACACTTGTTGCCCCAGTACTTTGGGAAGAGCACTTGAGTCTAGGGGTTGGAGACCAAACTAGGTAACATAGGAAGAACCTGTTTACAAAAACTAAGACATTAACTGGGATAGTGGTGTGCGCCTATAGTCCCAGCTATCTGGGAGGCTATGGTGGGAGGACTGCTTGAGCCCAGGAAGTCAAAGCTGCAGTGAGCTATAATCATGCTACTGTACTCCAGTCTGGACAACAGAGTGAGAAAATAAAATAAAATATACCCAAATGTAATGAACAGGCAACCCAAAATGAAGACTTTACAAAAAGGATTCTCCAAAGGGTTATCTTTCTAAGTCAAGCTAGTATTAAATGCCAAGGGTTTTAGAAGGAGAAAGACTTTAACCTTTCATTAGTACCATTCATATACTGTTTGGATTTTTTGAATTATTAAGTGTCTATTACTTCTATAATTTAAAAATTAGCTTTAAAGGAGTGTTTATTGCAGAACAGATATATAAAACAGAAGACTGGCAAAGAAAACTACAGTTAAAATGTTGGAAATTCCTAAAAATATAATCCATTTTTAAGTTTTAATTTGAGTGTTATACTTTATGAACCAATGCAAACTAAGGTGGGTAACTGAATAAATTAATAAGGAACTTTCTGAGGAGCACCTTTTATGTAAGTACCCATCATGGTGAATTACATATCCTGAAGAGGATTTAAATGTGGTTTACTACCACAGGACACATAAATATAGGGACAGAGAAAAAAAACACTAAAGTGTCCAAATTGTTTAGTGAACTATTCCAGACAATATATAAATGAGCAATAAATTAGATGCTATGAACTATAAGTGATTTAGGACACTAATATTCCAGTCCTAAATCCTAAAATCAGCATTTATTAAGTAATTTTGTGGCATTGGAAATCAAGGCTGGAACTATGGAATCATTTTTTAAATAAAAATAACAAAGGTTGGTAATGACTTACTAAATCAATCTGCTATAAAAACCAGGAAAGAATCCATCAGTCCATACTGGTACTTTAAAAAAAAAGATTAATAGGGGAAGAGGGACAAAGAAAATCTTTTTATAGAAAAACACCATCTAATAAATAGTAAAGGAGAGATATCATAAGAAAATCACCATTTTTTTAACCACCAGAGTAATTACTAATTTAGGCAAAAATTATCAATGGATCTTAAAACCAAGGGATAAAACACTGTTGGAAAACAGGATATTTATACAGTCTCAAAGTATCATTCCACATGTTTCCTATTAATTACATTTACAGTGGAGAATTATGGTAGATAGTATCTTCTTTTTTTGTTGAGTTGGAGTCTCACTGTGTCACCCAGACTGGAGTGCAGTGGCCACTCCCGGCCACCGCAGCCTCGACCCGCTGGGCTCCAGCGATCCTTCCGCCTCAGCCTTCCAAGTAGCTGGAATTACAGACGCGCGCTACCATACCCGGCTAATTTTTTTTATTTTATTGTAGGGATGAGGTCTCGCCTGCCCAGGTGGGTCTCGAACCCGCGGGCTCATGCAATCCACTCACCTCAGGCTCCCAAAGGCGCGGGATTACAGGCTGAGCCACCGAGTCCGGCTTGTTA